CTTTTTAAAATTATTGTAAAAAATAATTTTAAAATTTTAAAAATTAAATTTTTAAATTTTAAAAAATTTTAAAATTATATTTAAAAATTACTTTTAAAAATTACATTTTAAAATAACTTCTAAAAATTATATTTTAAAAAACTTTATAAAAAATACTTTTAAAAATTATAAAATTCTAAAAATTACCTTTAAAAATTACTTCTAAAAAATTACATTTCAAAATTACTTTTAAAAAATTACTTTTTAAAATTACCTTTAAAATATATTTTTTATAATACCTTTAAAATTACTTTAAAATAACATAAGAGTGTACAATAAAACACATAAAAGAGGGGTAACTAACATAATATATAAAAGGGGTAACTAAAGTAATAAACACACACACAAGAGGGGCAACTAAGGTAATAAACATTTACAAGGGTAACTAAAGTAAATATTGCTGAGAGTGGAGCAAGTATTGAAGACGTAACACACAAGAGGGGTAACTAATGTAATATAACACCCAAGATGGGTAACTAAGGTAATATAACACACAAGATGGGTAACTAAGGTAATATAACACACAAGATGGGTAACTAAGGTAATATAACACACAAGATGGTAACTAATGTAATATAACACCCAAGATGGGTAACTAAGGTAATATAACACACAAGATGGGTAACTAAGGTAATATAACACATAAGATGGTAACTAAGGTAATATAACACACACAAGAAGGGGTAAATAAGGTAATATAACACACAAGAGGGGTAACTAAGGTAATATAACACACAAGATGGGTAACTAAGGTAATATAACACACAAGATGGGTAACTAAGGTAATATAACACACACAAGATGGGTAAACTAAGGTAATATAACACACAAGGGGGTAACTAAGATAATATAACACACACAAGATGGGTAATAAGGTAATATAACACACAATAGGGGTAACTAAGGTAATATGCACACAACAAGATGGGTAACTAAGGTAATACAGTATAACACAAGATGGGTAACTAAGGTAATATAACACACAAGAGGGGTAACTAAGGTAATACAGTGGACCCCGCTTAACGATCACCTCCTAATGTGACCAATTATGTAAGTGTATTTATATAAGTGCGTTTGTACGTGTATGTTTGGGGGTCTGAAATGGACTAATCTACTTCACAATATTCCTTATGGGAAACAAATTCGGTCAGTACTGGCACCTGAACATACTTCTGAATGAAAAAATATTGTTAATCGGGGGTCCACTGTATAACACACAAGATGGGTAACTAAGGTAATATAACACAAGATGGGTAACTAAGGTAATATAACACAAGATGGGTAACTAAGGTAATATAACACACACTAGATGGGTAACTAAGGTAATATAACACACACTAGATGGGTAACTAAGGTAATATAACACACACTAGATGGGTAACTAAGGTAATATAACATACACAAGATGGGTAACTAAGGTAATATAACACACAAGATGGGTAACTAAGGTAATATAACACACAAGATGGGTAACTAAGGTAATATAACACACACTAGATGGGTAACTAAGGTAATATAACACACACAAGATGGGTAACTAGGTAATATAACACACAAGAAGGGTAACTAAGGTAATATAACACACAATATGGGTAGCTAAGGTAATATAAACACACAAGAGGGGTAAACTAAGGTAATATAACACATAAGATGGGTAACTAGGGTAATATAACACACACAAGATGGGTAACTAGGTAATATCACAAGAGGGTAACAAAGGTAATATAACACACTAGAGGGTAACTAAGGTAATAACACACACACACAAGAGGGGTAACTAAGGTAATGTAACACACAAGAGGGGTAACTAAGGTAATAACACACACACGAGGGGCAACTATTGCAATATAACACACAAGAGGGGTAACTAGGGTAATAACACAAGAGGGGTCACTAAGTAAATAACACACACAAGAGTGGTAACTAAGGTAACTAACACACATAAGAGGGTAACTAAGGTAATAATAGTGTGTGCAAAAGGGGTAACTAAGGCAATATAACATGCACAAGAGGAGTAAACTAAGGTAATAATGTGTGCAAAAGGGTAACTAAGGCAATATAACACACACAAGAGGGGTAACTTAGGCAATAATATGTACACGAGGGGTAACTTAGGCAATAATACATACAAGAGAGGGTAACTAAAGTAAACATCGCTCAGAGTGGAGCAAGGTTGAAGATATAACACAACTCACTGAGCGGTTTGCGGGCAGATGTGGGGTTCAAATGTCCAATAAGGATACCCACACTTTTGAGCCTTGGCAGTGTTGCTGTGGGTACAGTGACGCAGTGATGTCCTCAGTGTCTGTGGTTCAAGACCCGGTTGACTCTCCCTTGCCATCTGTGGGGTACAGCAAGCCTGGGTCAGTGGATAGAGATTCAACTTGAAGTGTGTTAGGGTTGTGGAGAATTGATGGGGAGGTGAGGGACTGATCCCCTCAAACAACTTCAATCATCTCTAAAATATTCAAGACTGAGGGACTGACCCCTGTAACTATGTACTGCACTTCTAAAAGGTGCTCCTCGACTTACAATGTTATTACATTTTGACTAACCCATTGTAAGTTGAAAATATCGTAAGTTGAGAATATTGCGAGTCGAATATGATATGGTAAATAAATAAGTCAATAAATAAGTAGTGTCAGTGAATAAGTCAATAAACAAATAATTATTGTAACTAACTAAATGCCAGTATTGAAAATTCAATAAATGAACATAAGTTAGGGACTTGCTGCCTTCATGGTGGATAATTATTTTAGTTTTCATCTCCAAAGCTATTGTTGCCACGCCATCGTAAAGCTGAACCAATGTAAAGTTGAAATACGTATTGAAATATCATTAGTCAAACCATCATAAAGTAAAAATTTCATGTTGAACCATCGTAAAGTCAAAATATCATAAGTCAAACTCTTGTAAAGTCAAAATTTCATAAGATGAGCCATCGTAAAGTCAAAAATTCATAAGTTAACCCATCGTAAAGTCAAAATTTCTTAAGTTGTACCACTGAAATATCCTAAGTCGAACCATGTAAAGTCAAACCATAAAGTTGGAATATCATAAGTCTAACCATTGTAAAGTCAAAATATCGTAAGCTGAACCATTATTATCCCTTAAACTGTCCAAACGTAGATCTACGTTTTTTCAACATTTGAAAATATTTAAAAAAGCATAGATCTTCTATTTTTTTTTTTTTTACATTTTTAAATTACCTTTCAAAATGTTATTTTGAAAGGTAATTTAAAAATGTAATTTTTAAAGCTAATTTTGAAATATAATTTTTACAAGTAATTTTGAAAGGTAATTTTTAAAGGTAATTTTAAAATGTACTTTTAAAGGTAATTTTAGAATGTAATTTTTAAAGGTAATTTTTTACATTTTTTTTTGTTATTTTGGAAAAAGGTATAAAAATGTAGATCTACTTTTAGAGTGCTACGTATGTGAATGTAGATTTATGTTTGGACAGTTTAACCCTTAAATGGTCCAAACGTATATATACGTTTTTTCAACATCTGAAAGTATGAAAAAAATGTAGATTTTTTTTTTGTTTTACATGTGAAAACGTGTAAAAAAACTTTTATCTACATTTTTTTTTGTTATATTTGAAAATGTGTAAAAAAAGTAGATCTACTTTTGTAGCACTACGAATTTGAACGTCGATCTGTTTGGACCGTTTAACCCTTTGAGGGTCGACAGGCCCTCTCCGAGACTCGTTCTCAGGGTCGGCCAAATTTAAAAAAAAAAATAATAATTTTTTCTTATGAAAAGATAGAGAATCTTTTCCCGATCATAATGACACCAAAAATATGAAATTTGATGGAAAACTTACGGAATTACGCTCTCGCGAAGTTAGCGGTCTCGGCGATGTTTACGGATCGGCGATTTTGCCCACTTTGAGCCCCATTTTCGGCCAGTTCCACTGTACTAGTCGACAAAAAACATGAATATTTTGCTAGAACTCTCTTTTTTTTCTTTGAATGAGTGCAAGAAACCACCCATTTACCAATTTCAACTATCCATACAGTGGTCAGAATTTAGCAATTTTGCCAATTTCACACAAATTTCAAAAGATGCCAATTTCCGAATAGGGTCCAGAACAAATAAGAAATACATTCCTGGCACTAAAATGACATTTCCTCTGTTCATTAGTCACGTCTCAAGGCCCCTCTTACATTCTTTTGCTTTCCACTTTGAATTTTTATTCTCACAAAAAATAGAAGATTTACTGTTATGCAGACTACTGCATTAGTGTAAAA